AAACCAATGCATCCACTTTTACTCAAAGCAGTTTCTTGAAGGATCTTCCTCTGGCTGTTAAGATTTACCTTAGGAACTCTTTGCTCTGTTCCCACGGACTCTGGGCCTCTTCTTTAGGCATGTGCTTGTCCAGGTTACATACATTAGGTTTCTGGGAGTACAACTTAAGGCACTGTTTTATCCAGTGCCGCTGGCATCCTGGGAGGAATGGGTTTGGGATGAAAATAAATCCTATAAAAAGAAGATGGGGGGGGGGAGATTTGCAATTGTTCTGCTTCTTTTTTCATTTCTTACACCCACTATTCTGTCATTTACTTCCCATATCCTTTGGTTCTACTTAAAGTTAATGAAAAACCAAGTTATGATGAACAGGAGACACCATATAAAAATCTGACTTTGGGAATATCCTCAAGAACAAACAAGTTGAAAGGTTAGCTGTCAATGGTGTTGTCCTAAAGTAACTTTAGAATTCAAAGTTCATACCAATTACAGTCACACAAGAATCCTCCAAGTCTGTTTCACTTATTACAGGTACAGAAGGCTACCTCTAATACTCGATTTAAACTAAGGTCCAAGATAACAGATAAAAAAGAATACATCTGACAGAGTTCACATCTTTGAAGTAACTTGGAAATTTAGTGCCTCTTTGGGCAGTCTATTTCAGATAAGTTCATTTTTTTTTTTTTTTTTTAAAAAACGGTTTTTTCAAGATAGGATCTCACTATGTAATTCCAGCTGTCCTAGAACTCACTGTGTAGACCAGGTTGGCTCTAACTCACAGAGATCTGCCTTGCTCTGCCTCCTGGGATTAAAGGCGTCTGCTATTTTGCCTGGCTTTTTTTGTAATGGTGACTGAGCTAAGACCTTGAGCATGCCAGGCAAACACTACCACTGAGCTATATCTCTAAGCTTCTAAACGTCTTTTATGGGTTACAAATCTGCCTTTCTTTAATTTGCATTGTTTTGAGGTTCTGACACACACACACAACTCCAAATCAGTTTTCTTTTTCTTGGCTTTAAAGATAGGATCCTGTTATAATAGGTTGATCGATTCATCCCATCCCCTACTCTGCTAGCTTTGAGGTGGGCCCTTTGTTTACACACACTTTATGCTTAAAGAAACTGAGGGCAAGGGAAGAGATTTGTCCTATGTCAGTTAGTACAAAGTGGAGCCAGGTATGAATCCAAAACCTATGCCTTAACCACCACTCCATTGCTTCTCTTCCTTTGTGTATAGCCATTTTTCAAATGTTTGATGCCTGCTGTCCCATTTCCCACCCAAATCTTTTCTTCCCCAGACTTTGTTTCCTCCAGTAAAAACAGGTTTTGGCACACAGAGTTCCTCCAGAATAAGTCGGATCAAGAAGTAAACAAAATCCTCTGATCACCCTAAAAGGAGACCTTCCCATGCTTTGCATATTACACTTCTATTAAATGCAGCTTACAATGGCTTTGAAAGCCAAGGAAATCCCCTAAGAACACAATGAAGTACTAACCCAAGTGATGTGAAACCCTACAATCCCGAAAAAGCAGACATGTCACTTCTGACAACATGAAACAGAAGTGGGCTTGAACAGCTTATACCTTGAACAATCTATACAGCAGCAAGGCCCAGGCCAATAGAAAACTGTGACCTTGAAAACAGTAAGTTCAGAGTTAGAAGTTTAAGGGCTGAGTGTGGTGGTACACGCCTTTAATGCCAGCACTTGAGAAGTAGAGGCAGGAGGATCTCTGTGAGTTCAAGGTCAATCTGGTCTACAAGGTGAGTTCCAGGACGACTAGGGCTGTTGCACAAAGAAACCCTGTCTCGAAGGAAAAAAAAAAGTTAGAAATTTAAGAGCAGCCTCTCGGGGTTGGAAAGATAGGCCCACATTTGGTGTATATATATGCATGTAGACAAAACAGTCATACACATAAAATAAAAATAAATACACCCAGGGGCTGGAGAGATGGCTTAGCAGTTAAGAGTATATGCTGCTCTTGCAGAAAACTGGTCTGGATTCCCAGTTCCAGTGATCTGACATCCACTTCTGAGTTGCTCTACTCTTTGGAAGCAGTAAACAGATAACCCAGAGAAGGCACAAATAGGTTATGCTCCAGGGTGTTCAGCATGTTCTTTGTTTATGTCTTCACCACTCATTCCTAGGAAATCAGGAGGACTGAGTAATTCCAGTCTCTGACTGGACTCACCAGGATAGCCTTCGAGCCCATAGGCCTGCCACTTGCTCACAGGCTGAAGGCCTGCTCTACGGGCATCCTGCTCAGTCACTGAGGACACGTTCAGATGAAATCTGACCACCTGGGAGGAGAGAAACTGAAGTCAGAGGGCACACTGTCATAGGTCAACCCTCCCAAGAGATTTCCACTATGGGTTCTTAGTATCAGCTCTCCCACCTACTTGACCCATGGCCTTAGTTTCCCCATTTGTATTCTAACAAAGATTATACAGTTCTGCAAAATAAAGTGCTAATAAGATAATTGGAATAAACTAGTTTGGGCTTTCTTTTTTAACTTTCAAACAACCCTTTCCTATGAGAACACACTTTAGTAATTTAAGTGTTTGCTATCTTGGACTATCTCAGGTCACAATGCTATTTAGTCTGGTTAGTGCTAAAACACTGCTTCTGAGGCACTTGTTATAGTCAGCAATAGGAAAATATCAGGCATGTTGAGAAAATGGAGAGTTCTCTAACCACAAAGAAAAAGTTATTTCCATAAAACACTAGGGCCCCATTTGCTGAAAGTGTTAACCTTTGATAAAATACTAATGCTAGAACTTTGCTTTTATTATTAAAAAAATTAAGTATTAGGAGTGCATAAAGTTTTCTTTGCACATAAGAGTATCTTATAGTAGATATGATATCACACTAGTTGAGACCCAGTACGTAGTTGGGCACAGTGTCACACACCTTTAATCCTAGCACTCTGGAGTAGAGGCAGGCAATTCTCTGTGAGTTTGAGGATGGCCTGGTATATAAAGTGAGTTCCGGGACAGCCAGGGCTACAAAGAGAAACCCTGTAACTAACCTAAACTACTCGAACTAAAAACTAAAACAAAACCCAATATGGTAACATAGAGGAAAATACATATATACATATATATATACACATACATATGTATGTGTATATATATATGTATATATATATATACATATATATATATATATACATATATATATAAAGAAAACAAAGAGAAAAATCCCACTTCATTCTTCCATGAATAATCGATTCGGCTTGCCTTAAAATATATTCAATTTTCCCCCACCCCAAAGAGAAGTGAACTGCTTCTGTGTTGTTGGTTTTTGAAGACAGGACCTCACTGCCTCTGCTTTCAAGTGCTGGAATTAAAGATGTGTGCCACCACGTCTGGCTTGAGAAATGAACTTTTGTCTTAACAACCTCCAAGCATGGAGATTTCCCGACAAAATTCCAACAAACGACTGGTGTATAAGCAGACTTAAAACAAAAAATTTCTTTCTCTGTGTTGCTGGGAAATCAAATCCAGTGCTTTGAACATGCTAGGCAAGCACTCCACCACAGAGCTACATGTCTGGTCCATCACTCTTTAAAATGGCTATCTGGAACTTTCTGAGAGACTTGACCTACTTAAGTTTTCTAGTTACTTATACTTATGGCTGATAAAATATTTTGTCATGATTTCTCTCTCCTTTTGGTTTTTCAAGACAAGAGTTTCTCTTTGTAGCTCTGGCTGCCTGGGAACTAGATTTGCAGACTAGGCTGACCTTGAACTCATTAGCCACCACCAGCCTGGGATACAGAATAAGACTCTGCCTCCAAAAAAAAAAAAAAATTTAAAACATGATTAAGGAAAATATACATTATACCACTACAGCTTTCCCCTCTGCTCTCATTATGTTCTCTTTCTTCTTAGGAAGGGGAAACAAATAGGGTATGTAGGCTGTTTAGATTTATTTTAAATTTATTTTATGCGCATGAGCGTTTTGCTTGTGGAGGTCAGAAAAGGGTGTACGATCCTCCGGAACTGGAGTTACAGACGGCTATAAGCCGCCACGTGGATGCTGGGAATCGAGCCCAGACTCTCTGCTACAGCGGTAAGCTGCTGAGCTATCTCTCCAAATCCATATATATATATATATAAAATAAACACAATTTATTTTTTGGTTTTTCTAGACAGGGTTTCTCTTGTGTAACAGCTCTGTCTGTCCTGGAACTCGCTTTGCAGGCCAGGCCTCCCTCGGCCTCTCGAGTGCTGGGATTAAAGGCGTGCGCCACCACCGTCCGGCTTTAGATTTCTTGACATGTATTTTCACCGTGGATGGAGTATCTCAAAATCCTACAACGACCTTTTGTCTTTTTTAAGTCTCAGAGAAGAGAGGGCCGAGTCTCACGGCCCAACCGTTTAACAGCTTGAGACGTATTCGATGGCAGGTTTTATGTGAAACTGTGGAGCCAGCCTGACGTCCAAGAAGACGTCCTGTCGGATTTTACAGAAAATAACGCATTAGCGTTAAGCGGACAGCTCAAAGAAGTGCGAGCAACCTCGAGGCTTTTTGGAGCGAGGCCGCGGGGGTTGCGGAGAAAATGGCGGCAGGAAGAAGGAAGCGGCCGAGCACTTTGCGGGCGGCGAGCCAGCTGGGGAGCAGTACAGCTCGGCGCCCAGGTCCAGCAAGGGTTCCCTCCATAACCGGCCCGGAGGCCGAGAAGTCCCGGGAGGCCCAGCAGGACGCCAGGCGCGCGGGGCGGCGCGCACGACTCCTCCCTTCGTACCTTGGGCACGCCGGGCCTCGGGCCTGGGGCCTCGTGTGCCGTCGAGAAGTCGATGACCGCTCCCAGGTCGGCCGTCCCGCGCCGGCACTGCCGGTAGAAGCGGAAAAGTTTCCGGAAGGCGTCCTCTCGCGGCTCGGTCGCCAGCGTGGCAAACGAAGCCACTGCCGCCGCCATCTTCCCCATGTCGAGGCTGCGAACAGTCTGACCCGGAAGCAGAACTCGCAGCTCGGGATCCGGGAGGTCCTTCCGGGGTCACGACCCCAGGTCTAGACTCATTCAGGTTTTAACATGGCAGTCTCCGCCGTGAGTCGGGCAATGGCGCTGCAAGCGCGTGCTGGTCGGCATATTGCTTTTGTCAGAAAAATTCCGTGGACCGCGGCGGCGGGTGAGTGATGGAGATGAAGGGCGCAATTTTTATGTTGAAGTAACTCGTTAAACCTTGTAGAGAACTTAAGTCAGCGTGGTAGATGGGTTAGGTCAGGCGGGTTGCTTTTTTTTTTTATTTTTAAATTTTAATTAATTAATTTTTTAATGGAACGCTTCGCAGATTTGCGTGTCATCCTTGAGCAGGGGCCATACTGATCTTTTTTTGAAGCGAGCACAAGTGGTTTGCTCTTGAGCAAGTCACTGCGCGGAAAATTTTGTTTCCTTTTAACTGTTTAGGGATACCTCCCCACTACCCCCCCCCCAAGAAAGAAAAAAAACCCCACAACTTTTAGGGTGCGAATCGACCTTACCCAGTGATTTGGAATGATTTGGTGGAAAGATTTATTATTTGCTTCCTTGGACATTTACAATTCAGAGGGAGCTATTTTGACCTCAGGGGAGCTTGGCTTTAAAGCGGCAAGAATGTAGGGGTGAAGATGAGAGAAAAGGAGATCTCATTCCGTTCAAAGATGAAAACTTGGACTCGGGAACTGGTCAAGGGGGAGGGGTCAGAAGCACGTAGTTTTTCAAGATAAAATTGATAGCATTTGTGCTGGTTTTAGGAGAAAGATGTACATTCCAGATTCCTGGCATAGATGACTTGTGCTTTTAGAATTTAGGATTAGAATTTAGGAGGCGCAAACTAAGAGAAGATGAAGAGTAAAGTTGCAGTGTGTGAATTTGAACAGCTAGTGAGGTCTCTGGCCAGCATATAGGTGGAGGTTGTATTTTGTGGTTGAGAGGTGGACTTTGAAGTCAGACTGCTTGAGTTAGAATTCCAAACTACTCATTTTAATAGTTGTATAATCCGAATTACTTGTTAATAATGGGAATAATGAACTGAATGTAAGATCTTACAAGAGAGCCTGTTTAATTTTCCAAAAAGTGGAATCAGTAATACCTCGACATAGAAATGGAGAAAGGATTAAAAGAGTTTATGTGTAAACTCAGTAGATTTATGCTAGGGTGTACGTACTTAACTAGTGGTAGTTATCTGCATGGTTAAAATTGAAGTGCAGGGAAGAAGGCTAGTCTGGCAATAGAGGGTTAGTTAGTTCTAAAATCACCACCTTTGATTTCTGTCAGCTGCAGTTTATATTTAGTTTTTATTTATGTGTATATATGTCTATGTGGATACGTGCAGGTGAATAAAGGTTCTTCTCCGTGTAGTACAGAAGAGGGCATTGGATCCACAAGAGCTGGAGCTGTAGTAGGCATTTGTGAACTCTACTGACACGTGGGTCTTTAGAACTGAACTTGGGTCCTCTGTAAGAGCAGTATGTACACTTAAATGCTGAACCATCTCTCCAGCCTTTATTTATTTATTTTGAGACAGGATCTCATATTATTAGCCTACCTATAGACTGAGTGCTGGGGTTATAGGTGAGTTAACATGCCTGGTTAATTTTTTTTTTTTAATTTGCTCACCCAAAGTTAAAATCCAAGATTATTTTTTGGTAGTTATTCATGTAAAGATCAGCCCCTTTAAAAGTATAGAATATAGTGATTTCTTAGTTGTTGTTGTTGTTGTTGTTTTTTTTTTTTTTGGTTTTTCAAGACAGGGTTTCTCTGTGTAGCTTTGCGCCTTTCCTGGGACTCACTTGGTAGCCCAGGCTGGCCTCGAACTCACAGAGATCCGCCTGGCTCTGCCTCCCGAGTGCTGGGATTAAAGGCGTGCGCCACCACCGCCCGGCCTGTTGTTGTTTTTTTAAAACTCAGATGTAGTAGTATGACTAGAAATAGGGTCTGTGCTCCATCTTGGTGAATGCCAAACCCACTATAGTGTTATTTCTTATAGTACTTCCCTTTCCTTTCTTTTCTTTCTTTTTTGAGACAGGCTTTCTCTGTGTAGCCCTGACTATCCTTGAACTTGCTCTGTAGACCAGGCCGGTCTCAAACTCATAGAGATCCTCCTGCTTCTGACTCCTGAGTGCTGGGGTTAAAGGCGTGCATCACCACTGTCCAGGCATATTCTTTTAAACTTTGTAGAAAGGCTGAGGATTTTCACCAGCATCTAGTAGATTCAAGTTTGCATGCCATAAGGGCTGCCTTGTAATCTTTAAAACTCAGTAACATTGCAACTTGGAAACATTTTTTTTCCCTCAGTTCATCCTTTCATTAAGCAAACAATTTCTGAGAGGCCATAATGGTCAGAAAGATCAGGGCCTCATAGAACAAAATAACTGGAGGTTAGGCAAAATAGCACCAAACATACATATTTAAAACCAAATAGTAGGGGCTAGAGAGATGGCTCAGTGGTTAAGAGCTTGGGCTGCTCTTCCAGAGGTTCTGAGTTCTATTCTCAGCAACCACATGGTGGCTCACAACCATCTATAGTGGGATATGATCCCCTTTTCTGGTATGCAGGCATACATGCAGATGGAGTACTCATATACATAAAATAAGTCTTTAAAAAACAATAAAAATTCTAGAAAACACTTGCAGTGTTATGGTTTGGACCTTGAATGTCTCTCGTTGGCTCCTATGCTAAGGACTTGGGTTACTAGCCTGTGGTGCTATTGGAAGTGGGAACCTTTTATGATATCAATCAGGCTGTTCTCGTTCAGATCATCACAGGGACATAAGCAAGCAATATTAAAATGTAAACCTACAACCACTGTAGACGAGAGATTGTGCAGCTTTATCTTTAAGATCATGTACTGTGAACCTTTTGAGATCTCACAGGAAGAGTATTGTATTCTAGTATGAGCTCGATAAAATAATACTCTGTGGAGGTATTTAGCTCGGCCTGAAAAAAAGAAACCTTATAATTTAGATTGGAGGAGATAAGAGTACTGACATATGGATGAGAACCACAGACACAAGGATGGAAATCCACAGGATAGGACAGAATTAACTTTGCTGTACTTGATAGCAACTAGGCCAGCAAAAGCAAATAAGGCAGGAAGCATAGGTAGGACTGATCGAAGACCAGGAAGTTGAGATTTTGTTTGGAAATCTCCAGTGCATCTGGCAGGACACTGGGCTGGAAGATTTATACCTTCCGCTTACAGGGATTGTCTTTACACACCCAGTGCCGTACCCGGTGTGAGAAGAGTATCTCCTGAGGATGGAGACTGCAGCCTGGCCAGCCATTTATCTGTCCATGTTCCCATCACACCTCCAGATCTGCTGTTTTATAGCAACAGTCAGTCCTGTAGCTTTTGGAATCTTAAGACTCAGGGAATGTAAAGAAGTTCAGGAACTCTGGGCTCTTTCTGATTTTTATCTACAATCTACAATAGCGAATGCAAGATACACAAACTTATTTTAATATGCTTTCTCTTTCTTACAGGTGAGCTGAGAGAACACTTTGCTCAGTTTGGCCGTATACAAAGATGTAATTTACCTTTTGTGAGTATTAAAACATTAACAAAAAACTGTTTGGGGTGGGGAGGGCACATATCTCAGTGGTAGAGCACTTGCCTCGTATGTATGAGGCTCTGGGTTTGATCTTCAGACTCAGACTGCCAGAAGAAAAAAAAATGTTATCATTTAATTCTTAATTTCTTTTATCAGCATTTAAAATACATTATCTAATGGAATGAAACTCTCAGAAAATCTGTTGATAAACTTGTGGGTGATACTGATTAAAGCATACAATACTTTATCACAGATATTTAACTAAAAATTTTTTTAGCTGCTGGTGGTGGTGGTGCATGACTTTAATCCATCACTCAAGAAGCATAGGCAGGCGGATCTCTGAGCTGGAGGCCAGCCTGGTGTATAGAGTGAGTTTTATGACAAGCCAGGGCTACACAGGCAAACACTGTCTCCAGAAACAAAACAAACAAATTATGCTAAAATTGCATAATTTCCTTTTTAACAATTTTAAAAAGATGTATTTATTATGTATACAGTGTTCTGCCTGCATGTATGCCTGCATGTCAGAAGAGGGCACCAGTTCTCATTATACAGGGTTGTGAGCCACCATGTGGTTGCTGGGAATTGAACTCAGGACCTCTGGAAGAACAGCCAGTGCTCTTAACCTCTGAACCATCTCCACCCCCTGCATAATTTCCTTCTTCAAACCCCTCCCATGTATCCTGTGGCCACCCCTTACTCTTTTTCAAATTCATGCTATTTTTTTTCCCCTCTTATTTCTTTTCAAGGGTTTCTCTGTGTAGCCCAGGCTGTACTGGAACACTCTGTAGACCAGGCTGGCCTTGAACTCAGAGATCCACTTGCCTCTGTCCTCTAGGTGCTGGGATTAAAGGCATGCACCACCTGGCTGGTATCTTTTTCTTTTCATTGGTGTGAGTGTATGTGTGCAAGCATGTGTGCATCACACACACATACAACCTGCTTAGTCTGTATAACGTTACTTGTATGTTTTCAGGGCTGACTGTTCAGTACTGGATAACCAATTGGTGTATGTCCCTGAGGAAAACTTTCTCCTGCTCTCAGCATTCCTCAGTTGTCTGTAGTTATTTTCTGAGGGTCAGGGCCTCTTGACCCTCCCTCCTTTCAGGTTAGCATGTATACTGGCGCTGTCCTTGTTTAGCATATCATAGACATTTATGTTAACTTTTATTGTTGCATTAATACTATGCTAAGCATAATGGCTAAATACAACACATGGCTACAACTTAGCTGGGTTCTCTGCTCAAGGTTTCAGAGATGTAGATTGAGGCTTCATCAGAGGTTCAGAAGGGGGAAAAGTATGACTTCCAAGCTCCCCTGAGGTACTTGGCAAAATTCTTTTTTAAAATTGTATTTATTGTGTGGGTGCTTTGCCTGCCCGTATGCCTGTGCACCATGTATATAGTGTTCCCAGAAGCCAGCATTGGATCTCCTAGGACTAGAGTTACAGTCAATTGTGAGATGCTATGTTGGTTCTGGGAACCAAATTCAGGTCTTCTGGAATAGCAGCAGTGCCCTTAACACAGAACAATCTCTCCAGCTTGGCAAAATTCTTTTAAAATTTGTGTTTCTGAGACAAGACCTCACTATGTAGCTCAAGGTGTCCTCAAAATTACTATTCCTGAACTCACAATTCTCCTGTCTCAGTTTTAAGTGATGGGCTTACAGGCATGTGCCACCATGTTCCAGTTTGGCAGCAAAGGTGTTTCTCTAGCATGTTAAGACAGTCACATATAACATCATACTGGTGATAGCCCATTTCCCTTTGCCATATAACCTGATTGGGGAAGCTGTCTGTGTCTTATCATGTTTGCCATTTCTTTTTTTTTTTTTTCTTTTTTTCCGAGACAGGGTTTCTCCATGTAGTTTTGGTGCCTGTCCTGGATCTTTCTGTAGACCAGGCTGGCCTTGAACTCAGAGATCCACCTGGCTCTGTCTCCTGAGTGCTGGGATTGAAGGCGTGCACCACCACCGCCGGCCCACATTTTGTCTTACTAAGTTACATATTCTGACTCCAGTTCTATGGCATCTAATGCCCTCTTCTGGACTCCATGGTTACCCATGTACATATGGCATACATTTACACAGGCACATAAACATCAAAACTGAGCATACGATGACAGAGGTAGTAGTGACAAAGTTCATTGGTCTCAGAAATGACCAGATGCAACTAGGTTTGGGGTTTTTTCCAGCTTGCAGTAAGTGGTTCTATGAAACAAGGAAACAATGAAATGAGTACTTCAGTGGTCTGTTTCCTTTTACCGTTAGTGGTTTGCTTCTAGACCTTTTGACTATATTAAGTGTACTGTTCTGATCTGCATCTAGAAAGATAGGGGAAGCTTTATTCCTGTTTCCTCTATTGCCAGTAGACAAGCAGAATGCTAGGATTTAGCCTTGGGTAACCAAGAGGGTATGTAGTAAGGGTTACTGATATGCATTGTCTGTGATCTAATTCTGGTGAATGAAAAAGTTGGTAGCCTTATATGGGTGAAGCTAATGGAAACTTTATCAAGTTCTTAGTTAATCCTTTTCCATTATATTTTCACTTTTAGGACAAAGAGACTGGCTTTCACAGAGGCATGGGTTGGGTTCAGTTTTCTTCAAAGGAAGAACTTCAGAATGCACTACAGCAGGAAAAGCACATTATTGATGGAGTAAAGGTAAGTATTTCTGTTGACATTTGTTCCATGTCACTTTTTAAAAAGTAATTGGTGTCCTATAAGGTCGATGAGGAAAGTACATGAAGACCCTGTTATTTTTGGTGCTAGGGCTTGAATCCAGAGTGCTACATATAAGAGAAGCACATGCTCCACTGAGTGTTCATCCCCATGGAAGACCCTCTGACAGTTTGCCCAGGCGTACTAACGCAGAAGGGTGGAAACAGTGTAGGCAGATGGGCTGACATCTTGCCTTTCCCCCAGATGAGGAAGTTTTAGTTGATTACCAGAGGGAAGACACCAACCACCTGAGTCTCTAATAAAATGGTATCCTTACAAATAGGTAAATTCTGCTTTTAATGTTTCTGATAAGCATTACCTTTTTACACAGTGCTTTTCCCCCCCTACAGATCCATGTTCAAGCTCAGAAACCAAGAGTTTTGCAAGAAGAGGCTCAAACATCTGACGAAGAGAAAGACTTCTGAGATGATTATTGTCTTAGCCAGTAAATAAAAGTAACTGAGACTTTTTCTCAATGTTTTTATTTGAAACAAGAGCTGCACTAAGCAAGACCTTAGTTTCCCCACTGCGAGGTCAAACAGCACGACAGGGCAAATATGTTTGGTGGCATAGTTCCAGTATGCGGACATTATCCTACTCACCGTTTTGGGGTAATAAAGTTCTTACACAAAATATTACCCCTGGATTAGTAGGTGTCACACACAAGGAAGTGGTCTTCATTCTGTGTAGGGCAGTATTTCCTATAAGTGCCGCATGATGGGAGAAGCACAAACATAACCCATTCTTTAAAAAAACTAATCCAAAGTAGAATATTCAACCCCCCCATCTCCTGGAGTAAAAAGTAGTGCTGGGATCTATCGCCCAGATTTGGTTTTTATCCTGATCATTTACAAAGGGTTTCCCAATGACTTGCATCATTAGGTTGTTGAATAAGAGTTCATTTGCTCTGAAGAGAGGCCTATCTACTCCTTCCTCCGCTTCTTGCCTTCATGCTCATGTTCCTTAGGGCGACTGCTATCAGAGGGTCTTTTAGAACCACCATGCTGTTTGGCTTCTTCCAAAAATTTGTCCAAACCAAAAGGATCTTCCTCAAACTGAACTGGTCCCTCTCGGCCTCTCAGTCTACGGTCTGAACCAGAGAACTCCTTATCAGGAACAAACCTAGGGGAGAAAGAGAAGAGGTCATGAACTACCTTTTTTTTACTGGTGTAACGGGACAGTCAACTGTCTTGTTTTGGTACCTGTTGGTCTTTATCCTGGTCTCTAGGTCATCACCATATATATCCTTGTCCAGATTTTTACTCGGCCTGTAGATACTTTGAGCCATATCTTTACCGCCTCTCCAGGCCTGATCATACACATTATAAATTTCATCTTCTCCATCTGCAAATCCACTGTCCATACCCTGTGGAAAAATAAATGACACTAAAAATGTGTATTTATCCAAAGCTGAATCTGAATACTTGTGAGGAATTAACACTTCCAAGTTTATAGATAATTTTCAAAAAATCCCAACTGCAACATTTAAAAGATACATAATCTTGTTCAAACACATTTGAGTCCTTACCTAGAAACTTAATATTAAGTTAAGGTATTCACTAAAAAGTTTGATTAAGCTGGCTATGGTCTACATATCAAGTTCTAGGATAGCCAGAACTAAGTAAAAGACCCTGTCTCAAACAACAAAAGCTTTGACTAGCCATAAGATAAAGGTGTGTAGAGGAAGGTGGGGTAGATTTGTGAGGAGTTGAAGAGAGGGAGTGAATATGGTCAAAACTAATTGTATGAAATTCTCAAAAACTAATTTTTAAAACTTGACTAGCAATGCCATTAAAGTTGAAGGATTCTACTATAGGTACTTGACAGTAATGCTGAGAAATGTCACCTCAGCTGCCTGAGAACATCATTATCAAAGCACAAGACAATTAGACTCTCAATGAAAATCTTAAAAAATTTCACCCAATTTCGAAAAGCTTTAAGCTTAAGGTTGTAAGAGATACAACCTTTCACCGCTTAAAGCATAGTGGTTAAGAAAAAAGCTTTGGCATCAAAGCAGTCACGGTTGACTCTGAGTTCCATCAATGACCTAACCCCATCCCAATTATCTATGAAACATAACAGGGGACTGGGGAGATGGCTCAGTGTTGAAGCGCTCTCTCCATGAGCATGAGGTCTGGATCCTTAGGACCCATGTGAATGACAGGCGGGCATGGCAGCTTGCCTGTAACTTCATCCTCTGAAGATGCAGACAGGAGATCCCAGCCTCAGAGAATAAGGTGGGAGGAAAAGTGATAAAGGCCAATTCCCAACATCAGTGTCTGGCCTTACATACATGTACACATTTATATGCAAACATGCATATAAATGAAAATGGAAAAATAAAAATGAAAACAATATAGCTTCATACCCATCCCCCACACCCCACAAAGTGTTTTAAAGGACTGAGATAGAGTTAGAACAATGCTAGGAATATAAAAAGTATATAAAAAAAGTGACTGTTACTCAGAAGAGCTTACTCAAATGCTATCTCTCTATCTTCTAAAACCAACAAGTCAAAGTTTTATACCCAGGAAACACTGACACTACACTGTACATGTATGCACACTCAACAGAAGGTTCTTTGAGGGCAGGGGCAAAGATATCTTTGATCTCACTGACTTATGGGAAGTTATTAGTCAACAATAGGTGATTAAATTGTTCTAGGCTGGTTAATTACAACCAATACTAGAAATGTGATTTCCTCACAGTCTACTACTTTAATAATCCAGCTCCATAGCTTTGTTTATATATTTTAATATATATATGTTTTTGAAACAGGATCCCAAGCACCTCAGGCTGACCTCGAACTCCTGATCTTCCTGCTTCTACCTTTCAAATGCTAGCATTACAGACATACCCACCAGACCTGGTTTATGTCATATTGAGGATCAAACTCGGTGCTTCAAGCATGCTAAGCAAGCACTCTACCAAATGAGCTACATTCCCAGCTCTAAATCGTCATTTTAAAAATATTTCAAATCAATGGTGCTACAAAACTAAACAAACAAAAATTACCCAAAAGGTGCTTTTATAGGAAACCAGCTGTTTTAGAAACAAAAGATAAGCTGGGAGGTGGTGGCGCACGCCTTTAGTCCTAGCACTTGGGAGGCCAGCCTGCTCTACAGAGTGAGTTCCAGGACAGCCTGGGCTACACAGAGAAACCCTGTCTCAAAAAACCAAAACCAAAAACAAAAAAATTAAGAAAAAGTAACAGAGGAAGGAGAGATGTAGACGTAGCAGTATCTAGTCTCATTACCCTATTCCTCTCATTGTCTACCAGCGCTTCAGATCACAGCTAATTCTAAGAAGTCACAATCAGAAATGTTCCAGGTCCAGGCTAGCCTTGAACTCTTATCTTGTGTCCAGCCTCCGAAATGGAATAAAAACATGGGCTACCATGTCCAACTTGCACTTTTAAGTAAAAACATACAATTTCCAAATTTTTCCTGTCACCACTTTGCCATACTCTTGGCTAATCCAAATCTAAAGTATGTACTTTACTGAGAGGAAAGACATCCTTACCAACGTCCCAGACAAAGCTGTTTTCTAAGTTCCTCATACCTTGGATTGATTGAAGAGCCTTTGGTCATACTGAACTTCATTGGAAGTGCGAGGATTGGGAACACCAAGAGCAATGACTTCACTGATATCTCGATTTTCATTTCTCTGTAGTTTTGACCTATTTCAAATACACAGTCACTAACAACACATTTTACAGACAAGATGGATATATGCAATATAAATACAACCACTTTCAGAAGCAAAGGAAATGAATATGGTATGTTTCTGTCTCATGAGCATACATTCTCAGATAATGCACAATCACATCAGCAGCTCTTACAGAACTTCAGCTGCATGACTAGAGAAGGTAGGCAGGAGTCCACACAAGAGAGTGGTTCTTGGATGCAAATGAATGCACCATATACCATCAGTCCTTTTCAGCAGGCCACACTCAGCCCTGACCTAACTATATGTAGTAATTTTTATCCCACCAGGGTGCTGAGGAAAACATGACAATGACTAGATTTCTCTGTATGGCTTTTGACATTACACTAATTCCTCTGCTGTTTTAGCATAAATGCAATCAGTATCTCAATGAAACCATGGTAACTGTCACCACTTTACAATGCTCATGTCTTACAATATTTCTGTAGACATTTTATTTTCATCCAATTACAAGTTCACAGCTTCTCTGTGTCATCAATTCTCACAGTCACTTCACTGGTCTGGAAAGCCCCATCTCTGTACAGAGCCACTGTCCTTCACAACGTAGCTAGTCCCCAACTCACTGGCCATGTTCACACCTCTCTCACTCTGCTCTCTTCTACAAGGGTTCAATTTCTGCTCCCCACTAAACTTATCCAGAGAAGAAATATGCCAATTAAATGAGGCGGAGATGATTTAAGATATAAGATATAAATTTCTAGGATAACCAGAGCATGGAAAATTGCTCATACAGAAAGAAAGTATTTCATATTTGCATTTTGCCTGAACCCCGAATTCCACCTCTGCAGCACAGCATTTTCTGGACTTTGAAACAACAGAAGTCCTCAGCCATTAGTGAACCTCAAATTTCCCTGATTTCTATTTTATGTCCCTATACATGGGTCCCACTTCATTTTTGTAAATGTTTCCCATTTGTGTAAAGCTCTGTTCTGAATTTTAAAACAAACTACTCACGGAAGTCAGAATCTTCTTTTAAAACTTCCTACTGTACTAGGCACAGTAGTTGGCACAGAAAGGATGCCACTAAGGCTATGACAGCTGGCTTTCTGTCTACACACAGGCATACAAGCAGCATATCCCACTACCTGAATAGGAAAGCACACATCAAAATAATTCCGTTCTCTTCTTCTGATTTCCTTTTTCCTATCCCTACTATTCTCCATACTAAATACTAGTCCTACAAAGTGATGGCAGGGCAGGTTGCCTTTCAGGGAGAGTCAATTCTGTTAAGACAAAGTTAATTGCTAATTTATTACCAAGCTCAAGAACTCAAAATGCCCCCTTTCCTAACTTGCAACGATGCCAGCTAGCGACCCACCTCTTATCAGGCGCTGCCCTGGAGAGGTTCCGGTCATGCTGTCTCTCTTTCCGCCTGTCATGACGGATTTCATCCCTTTCTCGCGCTTCTCCATCCTCTGTGGACACAGTTGAAAATTACATTGTCACCGCATTAGCCATTCAGATTTTTGTACAAGAGCTTCTTTAACCTTAGAAAATGCCATATTTTTTTAGTTTTTGAGACAGGGTATCACTATATGGCTGAGGCCAGCCTGTAGCCCAGGCTGGCCTCGAACTCACAGAGATCCGCCTGGCTCTGCCTCCTGAGTGCTGGGATTAAAGGCGTGCGCCACCACCGCCTGGCACTAACTGATTTTTTTTGAGACAGGGTTTCTCTGTGTAGTTCTGGAACTCACTCTGTAGACCAGGCTGGCCTCAAACTCAGAGATCTGCCTGCCTCTGCCTCCTGAGTGCTGGGATTGGCTTTTTGTTTTGGACATAGGCTCTTACTAAGTGGCTCTGGCTGTCCACAAAATTTCCATTCTCCTGTCTCAGCCTCCTCAGTGCTGGGAGTAGAAGTGTACTACCATGTGATTAGAAAAAAATAAACAAGAAAAATAAACCAACTTTTTTTTTTCTTCTCCTTCAGATAAAACAACAACAAAAATAACTCTGTCTCCCTTTCTCTCCTGATTTTCCGAGACAGAATCTATGTAGCTCAGGCTGGCCTGGAACACCATGAAGACCAATCATGTCATGAACTTGCAATGCTCCCATCTCAAACCTCCAGGTGCCAGTATTACAGGCACGCCCCACCACACATGGTGAAGGTGACCTTTCCTTGTCTTTCTGTTTACTGAAGTAGACTGTTGTATCTTACCCTGTCCTACCATCTGGCTGAAGATCTCTGTCTAAAAAAGAATGCCACACACTGGGTGCTTGGGATGAACTAAGCCACATCCTCACAGCTTTTCTGATTACAACTACAAATTCACCGTAATTCTGTAGGACTATTGTAGCACATGCCTTTAATCTCAGCATTTGGGAGGCAGAGGCAGGCAGATCTCCGAGTATGAGGCCAGCCTGGTCTACAGAGCCAGTTCCAGAACAACCAGGGCTACACAGAGAAACCCTGTGATTTCATCTTCCCTTCATAACAGACTTGATACACTAATGTCAATCACTAAATAAAGCCAGTCAGAAAATACTGGCAATTTTAATGACTACAAGATACATTAGTCTACAAATCAGTAAAACTCCAGATTATTTTACAACGTTGGCAAATTGACTTAGTTGGGAATTTATATTTTCTTTCTAAATTTTAAGAGACCACAATGGGACTAAAAATTGATAAAGTCTATCAATAGTAATAATGTAAATTGAAAGGTGTAACTGTGAGGCTGGTTGTGGTGGTGCATGCCTTTAACCTCAGTACTCAGTGGACAGAGGTAGGCAGATCTTTTGAGTTTATGAGGCCTGCCTGGTCTATATATGGAGTTCCAGGATAACCGGGCTATTCTAATTTTTTTTTTTTAAGTGTAATTGTCCCTCAATATCCTACAGAGACCTCACGTATACTTTGATGGGTGAATGTTCAAGTCCCTTACATAAAAGTGTTATACACACATCTGACAGGCCATATTTTCTAGGAATAATGGCAGGAACAAGTCTGCACAGTTTGGATACAGATGCCAACTGCCCAACCTAGATACTTTCAATCCATAACTAGTTTAGTCTGTGGCTGAGGATCCTAGGGATACAGAGGACCAACTGAATATTGATGAAAACTAAGAATTTCTAGTGTACTTCCATATGGAAGACTCATTTCAAATATGTACTTCATTGTTTTCTACTTCAGCTTAGTAAGGAAGGAGGTCACACCCCACTTCTACGTTTTTCTGAAATATCTGTATTTTTCTTATACATACATACTACTTTTGTATGCTGTAAAACAGGCCCCACCCGCAACACACAATGCACGGAGATATTCTAAAATGAGATATACAGTGTTCACCACATAAATTCCAAAAACGAGGCTGTCATACCTTTTTCCACATGGGTTTTGATCCCAGCTCTCCTCTCTCTGGCCTTCTGGGCCATTTCTCTAAGCTTCTCCTCATGTTTCTCCTTTTCCTTTTGAGCCATCTTTCTCTCCACTTGGGCTCGCATTTCCACAGCTTCCCGAGCCTGTTCAGTGAGGAGAGATGTTGTCAAGTGTGCCACACCACAGGGTAAATATTTACAGTTACATTCCAACTACCTTCCTGAGCTCTGCTGGGTCAAAGAATTCTAGGTTCCTTACCTGTCGCTGCTGGAGAGACTAAGACTCGGGAAGGCTGGCCTTTTGTCTCTGGGGAATGTGTGACAGCGCAACTACAGAGACCCCAACTGATGTTATAAGTCAAGCACATCACTAATGCTTCCTCAGAAACAATCTGAAAATGAGATACTGGCTGAGCGTAGCATCGAGCACCAGTAATCCCAGCACAAAGAAGATCATCTAAGTTCATGAAAACCAGAATGGCATCCGCTATGCATGGTGGCACATGCCATCAACCCCAGCACTTGGGAGGCAAAGGCAGGTGGGTTTCCTGAGTTTGAAGTCAGCCTGGTTTATAGAATGAGTTCTAAGACAGCCAGGGCTATGTAGAGAGACCCAGTCTCAAAAATAAAACGGACTGAACCACAGTAAGATCAAGTCTCAAAATGTAAGTAAACAGGTAAATAAATGTAGCTGGACATGGTACTACATACCTGCAATCTAGAACTCAGGAGGCTGAGGCAGAAGGATTGCAATGAGTTCCAGCAGAGCCTGAGCTTGAAACTCAGATCCTGCCTCAAAAAACCAAAACCTACCAAAAATTAAGTATGACTTCATCTTAAGATGAAACCTTCGTCTACATTTGAAAGACTTTAGTCAGATCCTGCCTTAAAAAACTAAAACCCTAGCCGGGCGGTGGTGGCTCACGCCTTTAATCCCAGCACTCGGGAGGCAGAGGCAGGCGGATCTCTGTGAGTTCGAGGCCAGCCCAGTCTCCAAAGCGAGTTCCAGGAAAGGCGCAAAACTACACAGAGAAACCCTGTCTCGAAAAACCAAAAAAAAAAAAAAAAAACCTAAAACCCTGGGCTGAAGAGATAGCTCAGAGGTTAAGAGCACTGGTTGCTCTTCCTAGAGGTCCTGAGTTCAATTCCCAGCAACCACATGGTGGCTCACAACCATCTGTAATGAGATCTGGTGCCCTCTTCTGGTGTCCAAGCATACATGCAGGAAGAACACTGTATATATGATAAATAAATATTAAAAACAAAAACAAAAACCCACCAAAAATGTAAGTATGACTTCACCTTAAGACAAAACCTTAGTCTACATCTTAAAGACTTGAGGAAAAAAACAAACAAAAAACAAGAACCCACTTATTTGTGTGTGTGTGCATATTAATACAGCACTTATTTGTAATATCAATAGCCAATATACCATTAATGCCACTTTATGCAGCATTTAATCAGAATGTTTCCTTATCGTTCCCTACAACCGATCTTTTGGAGATCATCTACATCTAAAAGAGAAGAAAACTATGCAGTGTAGAACGGGACCTAGTAGTCTCCACTCTGCGTGCCGAGAGGGAGCAGGGGTGTCACCACTGCTGGGTACAGCTCTGCACAGAGCTGTAGCTAGCCCCTGCTGTCATCAGCACACACAAGTTAGTGTCTCTCTAGGACCTGAGGTGAACAGGTGTGGGCGCACAGAACATTCAGCAAACTGTAAATGACCAACCTTCCGATCAGCAATGTACAGAGCTTCAGCCAGTTTGGCAAAATTTTCGTTGATGTGTACGGTCTGAAGTCCTCTTCCGTCAGCAGCCAGCCGTTTATCCAGAGGAATTGTGTAACCCTGGAGGTAAAGCAGAAGTCAGCTCAGCTGAACTACAGCCACCATGGAACATTAGCCTAGTGCATGCCCAATTTGAGAACATCCAATTTCTGTTTCTCACTCTTCTTACACAGTCATGGAAAACAACTAACACTAGGTGCTCTGGATGGAGGGTCCACTGTCTAATCATCCTAGTAACTACATAAGGCTGGGACCACAGCATTTTCCACTTCACAGAGGAAGACGGGTCACAGTGCTGAGGTGACGTCGACAACTTCAGAGTCGGGAAGGGGGTGATCTAAGACTACAATACCAACAGCAGGATGCAAGAGCCCACGCTTTGAAACAGTGATTGTGTTAGTAACTGTGGATCACAGGAAAAGGAAATCATTGTCCAATAGTCAATAGCTGCTCCAGGAGAAAACCAACAGTCATAAGAATGCAGATAAACTGCTATAACCCAGGGAATATGCTCAACATGTACGAGACTTTCAGGTTTGGTTTTTCCAGATTTCTAACTCTTCTCCCACACACTAATGTTGTGTCCACTGTCTCCTAACATAAAACAGTGCTGGCTGGGTGCAACCCCACTTGAGAGGCTGAAGCAAGAGGATTATAAGTTCAGGATCAGCCTGGCTCACATAGCAAGTTCTAGGCTATAGAGTGAGACCGTGGCCCCCAGACCAAAAATAAAAAGAAGCTCTCATCTAAAAGAATCCATAAACGTAGTCCCCAGTGTTTCAGAATCATCTCAACACATCACAGAGTTACACAGAATGAATGAATCAACCCAAGGAAGACGGTCGGACAGCCACTCCAGTGGAGGATGACTATTTAAGTGACTGTCTTCACCCATCAAAGTGACTCCAAGCCTGTAAGGAATACGAATTAGGAAATGTACCCCATATTTACAGATTTTTTACTAAGCTCTGGCGGTTAGCTGAGATACACAGAATTTGTGTTTGCCCTGGCTGTTCTGGAACTCACTATTAGACCAGGCTGGCCTCAAACCTACAGACTCGCTGCCTCTGTCTGTCTCAGGGGTGCCATCATGCTCTGCTACACACAGGTTTTATTGTTAGGGCTTTTGAGACAGGATCTGGTGATGTCCCCAGGAGTCTTCAACTTGTTATCCTCCTGCTTCAGTTTCATGTGTGCAGGGATCACAAGCACGCAACATGACGCATGCCTGGCGACACAGCAGTGTAACTGGGGATTCAAACACTGTTCTCCTTTCTCATGTGGACACTGAGAATGGTTTAATTTTCTCTGGAAATAATTCTAACCTAGAAATTTGACCTTCAGGAAGAATTACATCTCAATCAATAGGGTATTTTGCTCTTATTTTTCCTTTTCTATGAGCTTCTGATATGCCAGAGATTTACATGACATTCAAGTGCCCAGTATAGCAACATGGTGCGTGTAACTGAAAGCATCCCGCGAAGCTGTCTCTACTGCTTTGGTGGTGCACCTGTGTTTCACACACTGAATGTGTGCTCTCCCTCTGAGCTCCACTCTCAGCAGTAGTAACTTTTTTTTTTTTTTTTCTTTTTTAGTTTTTCAGGACAGAGTTTCTCTGTGTAGCTTTGCGCCTTTCCTGGAACTCACTCTGTAGCCCAGGCTGGCCTCGAACTCACAGAGATCCGCCTGCCTCTACCTCCCAAGTGCTGTTAAAGATTAAGGCGAGTGCCACCACTGGCCCAGTAGTAACTTCTTATTGCGAACACTTATTTAAGTGAGGCAGTGAGGCATGTTCCCAGGCTGCAGCCCCTTCCTGAGCAATCCCCATGAGACGGTACTAACAGACAGTGTGACAGAAAAATCACCTTTGCGTTCTTCCAGTTGGAAATACAAGGGGGGATCTTCCACTCTTGCTGTTCCTTGACAGTCATCTGAAAAACAGATGAGGGGAGAGACGCTGTTACTACAGTCTGACTCCAACCCAAACAGACCCCCCCATGCACCGACACATGAACAGAGCAAAGTCTCTGGAGCAGTGCACACTGCTCCCTGTAGTGGGCTCTCACCACAGGAGAGCTCCCGTGAAAGACAGAGGAGAACACTGCAGATATTACAAATGCCCGACAGCAGTTTTCCATACTTAAAAGTGCCTGAAACCCCACCCTTGTGGATGTCAACCAGATCCTGTGCACTCCACTGAAAGCAGAGGTCGAGTTACTGGTAGTAGCAGCAAACATTCACATAAACACACTGTATTCTGTAGTCTTAACTGGGTCCGTATTTGCTCTTGGGAAAAAAAAAAGGTTTAACCATCATGGTGACTTGGACCTACAGGCAGAGGGGCTCTTTATGAATTAAAAATCACAGGTGACGTGACTACAGCAAGGATTACCTTCCGACTAGGAGAATGCATTACAGGTGCAGGAGGAGATGGTGGTCCCCGGGGAATTTTCTTATTAATCCTGAAGAATATATCAAAGGAAAACAAATCATCAGAGCATGAAGTCCTCAGTTGCTTTTTGGTTATCAGGTCCCAAGTCTTCCCTTCTCATTTTAATTTTCTGTTGTGATGAATGCTCATGGACACCTTGCGCTTGGTTTTGTTAGCTAATAAAGGTGGTCACTGTCACCACTCATTTCACACTGTTACCACTGCACAGTGCAATATACTCACGGCTTGACGTAACTGACACACAATTAATAAAACATGAAGTGTACAATCCGATCACCTGGATAACAGAAGCTAGACAGCGAGCATCCTCGTCATCTAAACCTCCACACGTGTTGTGCCTACTCCTTTTCTTTTCCATGGGCAACCACTACTCACCTGCTGTCTATAACTAAGGAGAAAATTGCATTTTCTAGAATTTTTAAAATTATGTATTGTCTGTGTGTGTGTGTGTTTGGGGTGTGTGTGTGTGTACCCTGGAAGTCTGGAGGTCAGAGATCAACTCTGCAGCAGTGGGTTCTCTCCTGATGCCATGTGAGTCCCAGGAACTGAACTCTGGTCCTGCACTTGGCAGTAAGTGTCTTTAACCTCTGAGCCTTCCTGCTGACCCCATTTTCTAGAGTTACACACAGAACCCTAACATTGTATTACTTGTTTTTGTCCAGCTTCTTTCATGTAGCACAATTGTTTTCAGACTCATCTATGTTATTGTAGTAGTTTATTCCTTTACTTGACCCAGTAATATTGCAGGGACTGATGCACTAATGTTTGCTTATCTAGTCACCTGTTCACGAACACGTGGGACACTTGTTTGATCCTCTTGTACTGGGTGGTTGTGTGTCAACTCGACACAAGCTATAGTCATCAGAGGAAGGAGACTCAGTTGAAGAAATGCCTCCTTGAGATCCAGCTGTAAGGCATTTTCTCATTTAGTGATCAAGGGTGGGTGGTGCCATCCCTGGGCTGTTGGTCCTGGGTTCTATAAGAAGGTGGGCTGAGGAAGCCATGGGAAGCAAGCCAGTAAGCAGCACCCCTCCACGGCCTCTGCATCAGCCCTTCCTTCCAGGATCCTGCCCTGTTTGAATGGACAGCAATGCTGAAGTGTAAGCTGGATAAAACCTGTCCTCTCCAACTTGCTTTTTGGTCATGGTGTTTCGTCACAGCAATAGAAGAAACTCTAGGATGCCAGATACTTACTTGAATCTCGGCGGCTCCATTGGATCTTTCTGCATTTCTACCATCCGAATAACTCTCTGTTTAGCTCCAGAGTTGAATGCTACTCCTTGCTGAGATGGTGTATAGCTAAAGAGAGTAGATGAAAATTAAAGGTGCAATTAGTTCAAGCTTTTGGTAGGCATTTATCTTCTATTACAGTTCCATGTGACTACACTTTCAATTCTTTTCAGGAAGTACTGATATAACCATACATTTAGGCAGGGCAGGCAGAAGCAGACCAGAAAAGGAACAGAGACTGAATCCAACAAAGGGTGCACTCAAGTGGTTAGTGACTTCCCTCCTCATTCTTTCCACATTCCACCTGGGAAGTATGCCTGCTCAGCTTTGCAGGTCTAAAACTAGCACCTACTTTTAAGTCTACATGATGGACAAAAATTGCCAGGGCTGGAGATGGCTCAGTAGTTAAGAGCGCAGACTGCTCTTCTGGAGTTCAATTCCCAGCACCCACATGGCATCTGACCACTGCCTGCAACTTCAGTTCCTGAAATTCCTTCTGCTGGCCTCGCTGGGCAATGGGCATGCAGGCAAAACACCCATACATATAAAATAACAATAAATAAATATAAACAATTGTGGTTTGGGCCTTTACCATAGGTAATGGTTATTTTCTTAAAAACTGAAATATCAAAACCCCACAAACCCAAAACAGCCATTTGAAGATCACAACAGCTAACATCTTGCTTTGAGGCAGGGTCTCAGTATGTAGCCCTGGCTGGCCTAGCACTCAAGAGATCCACAGGTCTTTGCCTAGGCATGTGCCACCCTACCCAGCTTACAGCAGTTAACATCGTAACTTAGGTATTTAAAAAAACAAACAAACAAACAAACAAACAAACAAACAAACAAAACAACTCCTGGGGCCGGAGAGATGGCTCAGTGGTTAAGAGACTGGCTGTTCTTCCAGAAGTACTGAGTTCAATTCCCAGCACCCACATGAGGGCTCCCAACTATCAATAATGGGATTGATTCAATGTCATCTTCTCTCTGATTCCCTCTTCTGTCTTGCAGGCAGACATACAAACAGAGCACTCATACACTAAATAAAGCTTAAAAACAAAAAACCCCCTCTGCAAACAAGAGTCAATGGGCTTCAAAAGTCATTAATGAAGACAACGCATTCATAACTGGCTCTGTAAGCTGGTGAGAGTCCAGCACGGTGCATACCGGATATACTGAGCAGGAGCCAGCTTGTCAGCTGCACGAACTGGCATGGCTGCTGCAACCTTCTGCGATACGGACTTCTCCAAGGCTACTCTTGTCTTCTCCGTTATCTGAAATGAGAAGCATCATGTTGAGCAGTCGGAAATTAATAAGGACACAAAGTCATCTAAAACAATGGCATATATCAACTCCGAGTTACCTCTTTAATAGCCTCTTCATCAGGCCTCTGCAGGTCTGGGTCATCTGCATTCATAACCTCCTTTGGAACCAGGTCAGTGTATTTGCTGTAAATGACCTAAAGTGTTCAAACACAAGCAGGCTTAGAACACATAGAATGGAGAGAAGCAACCTCATTAAGTCACTCTAGATGTCAATATGTCCTTTCAGCATATTTATTTACACACTTAGGATACCCAGTTTCATTGTTCAGATTTTAAAACTAAAGGAGCTTAAAATATGTACACAAATTGCTGCCCTGGCTCCAAGCTGATCACTTTCCCTTGACCCCATGCATTTAAATTATTTGAGATCTTCTAATCAAGTCAGTATCCAAACATATTCTGCCAACAAAATCTTATGCATCAGTGATCTCTATTTTTGAGGCTTACTAGGACTTGAAATTAATGATGATATAAACTGCCTATAGCACCATTATCTTGGATTAAAAACTCATCAGAATTTAAGTCGGGTTACTAAATAATTTCCAAATTCACTGGGCCTAGAAAATTCCATTGACCTCATCCTATTTATGTTTCTGTTTTCTGGAATCAATTCTATTCACAAACTAGGAAAGCGAACATGAAGGAAAAGAAAGAGCCCAGAATATTTTCTTCTACAAGAGTAAGAGAAAAACAAAAACGTACTTATACGTGTGTCCTAGTTTCACCTCTGTCTCTGTGACAGCCTGACCAAAAGAGACTCGGGGAGAAAAGGGTTTATTTGGCTTACAATTCCAAGTTAGAGTCTATTATTGAGAGAAGTCAAGGCAGTAACTCGAGCAGCTGGTCAGGTTATATCCAGTCAGGAGCAGGGGAAATGAACGAGTTTCTGCTGCCTGCTCCCATTTAGCTTTTGCCTGACTCACATAGTGCAGGAAACCCTCTGCCGAGGGGATGGTGGCGCCCACAAGGGGCTGGCTGCTCTTACCAATGATCAAGACAATCCCCTACAGACATGCCCACAGGCCAACCTGATTTAGACCATATTCAACTAGGGCTCCCTTCCCACGTGATTCCAGGTTACAGGAAATTGACAATAGAAACAAATCATCCCAATACATAACTTGCTCTATACTCAACTTCAGGATGACTTTATGAACTGCATCAGGACCAACACCGTCCTTTTAGGTTGATCCTAATGTGACGGGCTCTTGAAACAGATAACTTGCTTGCTTGTTATCAATACTTCCCTAGTATTTTCGTTAAAATGGACATGGCAGACTTTAAAGGAAAAAAAAGATACTAGAAATTTAACAAATATTCTAGATTTTAATACTTTTGTTAGACATTCTTTGACACATATACATAAAAAGAATAATTTATGGGGCAGGAGAGATGGCTTGGTAGTTAAAAAACATTTTCTGCTCTTATAATAAAAGACCAAGGTTCAGTTCCTAGCACCCACAAGGTAGCTCACACTAGTCTGTAACTTTGGTTCCAGGGGATGTGATACTCTCTTCTGGCCTTCAAGGGCACCAGGAACATGTGTCCCTCATATACACATACAGGTAAACACATTCCACATGCATAAAAATGAATCTTTAAGTGGTGGCACAAGCCTTTAACCCCAGCACCTGGGAGGCAGAAACAGTCCATCTCTGAGTTTGAGGCCAGCTTGGTCTGCACTGCAAGTTCCAGGCCTGTTAGGGCTATCTAGGGAGAGATCCTGTCTTAAAAACAAAAAGAAACAAACATAATAATACCCAAACAACAAAAACAAATATAGAAAAGACAATTTATACAACTTATGAGCAGGAAACAAAATTCCTAGTGCCTGTGATCTTCACATTTTTTTTCTTCAGAAGACAACTTAACCACTAAAAGCTAAAATTGTAACCTACCATGATCTCTTAAAACAGCTGAACGGGATGTAAACTGTTCTCAATTTCCTACTCAAGCAACAGTGCAAGAAACACTGGCTACTTCCAACCCGGCTATGCCTACAGCCTCATCTCTCTTGCTTACAGGTGCACATTCCCGCCGCAGGCACACAGCTCTTCTGTTCCTTGAACAGACTGTAGTTTTCCCAGCTCCAAGGAGGTGTAGAGTTCTTCAAGTTCTAAATCTCTTGTGTTCCAAATTGGTTGAGGTCTGCCTGCCCCTCAGGACCCAATCACTCTGCACCTCAGCACTTTGTCTACTCTCTTCAAAGTATTCATCACACTACGCTTTTTTCCTAAGTCACCTTGCTAAAACAATGAAAATAATGATCACAGCTTGTATTTACTGAGCTCTTATTATTTGATACCATGTGGTTCTACTTGCATGCATGTGATTCAGACTGATTTAACCTTCATATCCACCCACAAGGCTTGCAAAATCATACCTAGTTACCAATGAGAAAACTCACTAATGGATTTCTGGTTCCTGCAACAGTACCTGGTCGACAGAAGGCACTCAGGGACTTCTTTGTATAAATGAAAGACTAACTGTCCTTTAGAGGTGCCTTATTTCATGTAGGATAGTGTGAGGAGGAGAGACAGAAAAGAGGGCGTGCTGTCCATGCTGACCCCAAACTACCATGCTCCAGGGTCCTCCTGACTCACCCTCCAGTGAGCAGGGACAAGTGTGCCACTAGTGCCTGGCTCAGAACTTTCTATACAAAGTACTGATTTCCCGGGCTACCGACTGAAATGTTCAGTTTACTATTGAAGGATGAGAAGGGTTGGGAATTTGGCCCAGGTGTAACCACTGATACGTGGGCCATCAATGACACTGTCTTTTACGAGTGTTCATTTTATAAGGGACTCAGAAGCATACAATAATGAGAAGAGTATAAGGTGCAGTACATGAGGATCACATAGCTATTAATCAACTTCAAAAGCCTTATTTCTTTTCAGGGAGGAAAAATCTATACTACCACAAACTGAAAACTCTCTAATACTGTAAAGAGGCTCCCTAGTAGTCATCATGTATGTTCAATATAGTCTCAAGACTAACTTAGCACAGAAGAGCCATTTGCTGCTTCTTATTTGGGTACTCCAAAGTTAATAATGCTTTAAACAAGCATCAGTAAGATTCTAGCATCTTACAAGACAGAGTGAAGGACATCTCAAGAGCAAGATTCCTTTGTGGTAATTAACTATAAACTCCCATAGTCTACAGTCTGAAAACAAAATGTGCTGAAGAAACTCGGCATATCTCAGTAGGCAACATGGCTGGAAGGAGTCATCTGAAAACTACAGCATACCCTTGAAGGTAGGAACATAAACAGCTCTAATCATCAAGAGAGAAAGCAAGGCCAGGCATGGCAGCATCCTCTTCCAGCCTCACAGGCACCAGGCACACATGTGGTGCACATACATACAAACAGGCAACATATTCATACGTGTAAAAATAAAAACATCTTTCAAATATAAAGAAAGCGGCATGTCATCTGATTACTCTCCTGACCAGAACAGGACTGACCAAAAGGTGAGCCGCTCAACATATCCACCATGTCATCTGCAAACATAAACAAGGTAATAACATGGGCTTTCTCACAGGGTCATCTGAAGTTGTTGGAGTTCGAGAGGCGAGGTTAACAACATCCCTTTAGGTGCTATCATGCACAGCACGCTTTCCACGAGACAGCTGCAGAAGGAAAACTGCACACGCCATGGCTTTTAAGACATCACCCAAGTCTATAAAGTTCTATCAAAATGGATCCCAAGAAACATCTCCTTGCAGTTTTCTCTTACAAATGTCTTATGCACTGTACTTTTACATGTAGAGATCAATGGCCTTGGACTTTTCTCAAATATGAAGTCTTTTTTCCCCCTCTTATACCGATCACTAACATTTATGGCCTTGCTCTTTCACGATTAATATTTCAGTGAGCACTCCCTTGTTCCTAAAGAATACCAGTTTCCTCTGGAATAAACGGGAAACCTTTGTACTATACTACAGTACAAACTCAAAACCAAACAGGCTGTTTTCATCATACCAGTCTCTGCATACCAGTCTCCTGAATGATGATCACTTTAAAAAATCCATTCTGTTTAAGTTTTATTTCTTTATCCCCTCAAGATTTATTTTTAAGTGCATTGGTGTTTTGCCTACATGTATATCTGTGTGAGGGAGTTCATATCTCCTGGAACTGGAGTTATAGACAGCTGTGAGCTGTCATGTGGGTGCTAGGGATTAAACCTGGGCCCTCTAGAAGAGCAGCTAGTGCTCTTAACCACTGTGCCATCTCCCCAGCCCCCCAAATCCATTTTGTATAAAGTAGTCCTCTTTCTCCTAGAACAAAAAGCCCACGGTTTTCAAGGGGGAACTACTGCTTCTTCTGGCTTCCCTCGGAAGGCTCTGTGCACGAACAGGAGGCTCTGGTTAAGACACAGTGGTAGCCAGGGAACTACTGGCATTCAACAGGCAGCACCAGCCATGTTGCACACACTATAATTCTCAAGACAGCTCTGAACTGTCAAGAAGCACCCCTCAGGAGGCCAAAGGATGTGACAGCTACTCAACCAAAGCTATGTATTCAGTGCACCGCAACACAATCCATCCACTCTTAGCTAAACACAAGACAAAGCAAAACCTGAAAGTGTTTTATGGACCTAAGAATGATCCCTCTTAAATGAACAGCTCTGGGTTCAGTTTTAGTGGCTACATTATAAACAAAAGCCCTTGATTATGCGAAGGATAATGCTTTGGAAATGTTCTTCTCTTTGGCCACATACTGAAACCTCAAGTTCTACAGTTCAGTTTGAACAATCTAATATACAATAGAATCTGGACAGACATACATCACTGCAGTTACAGCTGCTACCTCTGGCAAACAAAATACCAGAAAAGCAAGGAAGACCATGCATAAATGGGGATCTTTTTGTTGTTGTTTTGTTTTTAGAGACAGGTCTCTCTATGTAGTCCTGTCTATAGTTGGCCTGGAACTCAAGAGATCTGCATGCTTCTGCTGGGAATGAAGGCATGTATCACCACATCTGGCTCCCCACAGGTTTCTTTTACCATCAGAACATACTACTTGTAAAATACAATTTTTTTTTTTACATTTTATTTACTTTATGTGCACTTTATGTACAACTTGCAGGACTTGATTCTCTCCATGTGACTCTCAGGAATCAAACTCAATTGTCAGGCTTGGCAGCAGGTGCCCTGACCTGCTGAGCCATCTTGTCAGCCTAAAATACCAAATTTTTTCTTTTTAACAGAGATGCTGACCTGTCCTGCAACTCTCCTGCTGCAGCCTTATAAGTGCTGGCACTACATATGTGTACTACTATGCTCAGCTCTACTTGCATAATAAATATATATATATGTATGTATGTACGTACCTATGCATGTATATTATGTATGCATATAAAACAAGGAATAGAACTTCCAGACTGTTGGCAGAGGTGATTAGGAAGACATTTATGTAATTCAAACATATAATCAGGTATAAATTACAAATTATGGGGTAGTTCAGTGGTAGAGTGCTTAGCAAGCACAAGCTTTACAAATTTAGGTTTGGATATGATTTAGTATTATTTAACGAACTCTAGACAGATGCATCTTATACACAATAATATAAAAGGGCAAAGAAAACTGAGCAGGGCACAAACTTTAACAATCAACTGCCTAGGAGAGGCAAGGGTAGCCACAGAAATAAACTACCTCAGAACATACAGAATGTGCTGTGAACAGAAAGCAAGTTAGCGCCCTTTCCCAGAGAGCCGCCGGGGCCAACTAGCTGAGATGAGCATTGAGTTGAAATGGGAAGGGAGGTGCAGCAGATGATCGGACATGAGCACCGTCAAGAACTTCAGGACAGTGAAGAGAAGAGAGGAGGCTCAGTGGTATGAGAGGGAGCTTGGAAGACTGGACAAGAAGAGCAAGTACCTTCAAATGCTAACAGCAAGTACCTACTGGACAGCAGGTGAAGGACAAAATACCTAGTGCCCGGGAGGTGACACAGGAAAAGACAAGCACAAGAGAAACAGGGCGCTTTCTTCCACACCTATACTCAAACAGATGGAAGAGTCACCTGTTCCCAACCAGGCAGGGTGGACAGGGACAGGTGTTCGAGGGAACAGGGACTCACCAGGGATAAAAAAAATTAGAATGACTGTATTTTTCTAAAGCTCAGTAGCCACAATAAAGGAACAATGGATGATGGGTATGACTTCACAGCAGTGGTTCTCAACCTTCCTAATGCTGCGACCCTTTGATACAGTTCCTCATGCTGTGGTGACCCCCCAACCATAAAATTATTATTATTATTATTATTTTTTTTTTTGGTTTTTGGAGACAGGGTTTCTCTGTGTAGCCCTGGCTGTCCTTGAACTCAGAGATCTGCCTGCCTCTGCCTCCTGAGTGCTGGGATTAAAGGTGTGTGCCACCACATCCAGCCTGAAATTATTTTCATTGCTACCATTATGAATCGTAATGTAAATATCTGATATGCGGGAAATTTGACATTCGACCCCCAAAGGTGTTGTGACCCACACATTGAAAAGCGCTGCTTTAGAGGGTCAAACTGAAGTCAGGAGCGGTAAAAGAGGTACTGAGGACACCATCAATCCCAAGGCAATCTGCTTCTATCCAGTATTATTTACAAGAGAAACAGAACGAAGCAGGGACTTCAGAACAGTTCCTCAGCTGAGTGCAGCCACACTGTGAGGAGACTATTTGAAGCTTTACTGTGGGTGTTGGAATTACCTTTATTATTTATTACTATGGGTCTTGGGATTACCTTTTAAGACGCTAAATCTGGGTGGCAAAAGGAGGCTGTGTTATATCCAAATGAACTACTCAAATAAGAAGTGGGGATGTAGATGGTAGCAGCACACATCTCTGATCCCAGCACTAGGGAGGCAGAGGCCAGCCTGGTCTACAAAGCAAGTTCCAGGATAGACCAACAGAGCTGTTACACAGAGAAACCTTGTCTTGAAAAACCAAACCAAACCAAACCAAAAAAAAAAAAAAAGAAAAAGAAAAAGAAAAAGAAAAGAAAAGGTGGGCTATAGCTCATTGGTCTCTAGTACCACCACAAAGAGTAAAGAGATGAAGCATCTGTGTAGATATTCCTCAAGTATATGGAGGGAAGTTTGCATACAGACAAAAGTAAAAGGAGGCCCAGCTCAGATGCAGAACAATTGCCTAGCAGGTGTGAGGCTCTGGGTTCCATCACTAGCAAGGCCAGAAACAAAGCTGATTTTTCTTAGGAGTCTGGGACTATTGACTTTTGCAAGTTTGGTAGCACTTTTGGAAATAACTTTTTGCAACATCAAACAAAACCTAAGTAGGAAAGCTATCACTGCTGGGTGTGGCCTGCAGCACTGGGAGGGCGAAGGCAAGAAGATCTGAGTTCAAGGCCAGCCTGGGCTCTGCGCTGGACTGTTCTAAAGGGGACTGCAGCTATTACCAATTTGTGCAGAATTTCAAGGCACAATGTCACTGCTGGTGACAAAGTTGACCTAAGTATGTTTTACAGCTCTATATTTTAGTGATTTCATCGATTTTGCTCCTAGGCTCAAACCCAGGGCCTGTGCACACCAAGCACCATCAGTTAGAGCCCTACCTCCACTGCTTTTAAAAGATTTATTTATCTTACATGTATGAATGTTCTGCCTGCATAATGTATGTGCATCAGGTGCACGCCTGGTGCCCTGGAGGTCAGAGGGCATCAGAGTCCCTGGAACTGGAGTTACATGTGGGTGCTGGGAAACTGAATTCAGGTCCTCTGCAAGAACACCAAATGTTCTTATACAATGAGCCATCTCGCCAGCTCCAACTTCACTGCTATATTTATATAATCCAAAACGGCAAGTGATTTATCATTTCTACAAAATGTAATAAAACTTCACAAAGTATTTATCAACAAGAAAAAAACCAAAGCAAATCAACAAACCAACGAGAGATTACCTTGTCTTTGGACTGCCCCTGTCGAGCAATTGCATCGTACTTAATCTTCCCTTCAGGGTCCACCTGAATGGCCAGTGCATTGGACATTTTTTTCTTTCGCCCCATATCCAGTGGATACTGGGCCACATGGATTTCTGGGAAAGCACCTCCATCTCCAAAATCCTGTAAATTACAAGAAAAGAAGTAAAAAGAGTATTTAGTAGTAAGTAGCAATTCATTCAAGTTATGGAATCTGTACTAGGTGTGAGTGGCAGCAGTGAGCCAAGGCAAAGCTTTCATCTTGTGCAGCTGACCTTTAGTGGGCAAAGGTGTAAAAACATACTCTTTGGGTGTAGGAAGTACCATGAAGATCGTACAGGCCCTGGGAAGAGGCACTTTCAAGCTTTCAGTACAGTGGCTGTGTGTGACAGCCTGTGCAAAGAAATCATAAGAGGGGAAGCCGCAATGTCGAGAAAGCAAATAAAGGAAGATCCGGGAAAGCATTTTCTTTTTCTTCTTTAGTAAGGGGTGTATGTGTGTGAGAGAGAGGTGTGTGTGTGTGTGTGTGCAATGTGTGTGAGAGAGAGAGGTGTGTGTGTGAGAGAGGGGGGTGTGTGTGTGTGTGAGAGAGAGAGAGAGAGAGAGAGAGAGAGAGAGATGGGGGGGTGATGTGTGTGCAGGTGCCGGCATGTGTGTGTGAGAGAGATGTGTGTGTGTGTGTGTGTGTGTGTGTGTGTGTGTGTGTGTGTGTGTGATGTGTGCGCAGATGCTGGCAGAGGCTAGAAGAGGGGGTCAGATTCACTGAGCTAGAGTTACATGTAGTTGTGAGCTCCCTGACATGGGTGCTGGAAACTGAACTGGGTCCTCCTGCAAAAGCAGCAAGTGTCTTAACTCTCTGAGAATGTAGTGTGGGACTAGTGTAGTGTGTCCTTTCGGAGGACAGAGGAAATGATGCTAAGGTTACATGGACAAGTAAGTCATGGAGGGGCCTTCTCAAGGAACATGCATTTTATGTAAGAGCCTAGAACAAAATTAACAGAAATTTTAGTACAAACCAAAGACTAGTTTTAGCATTCTACACAGACATATCCATAGAGCATCAGGTGAAGCTAACCCCAGGAGAAATGTCAAGAGATGCTCTTAGAATCAGATTCTATTAACACATCATTTACTGTCACACCAGAGACAAAACAGAAAGGACCCACAATGAATCACACATTTTTCTTTTGGATTGATCCTAGCCATTGTGATAAGAACAGGGTATAGAATTCGGCCATGACGTTTCAGAGGAAAAAACCCAAAACTCAAAACAAAAAACCTAAAAGTCAAGTTTTTTTTCTTGTTACTAAAAGCTAGAAATGTCCTTGTGCCTGTGGGCAACTTCATCCTTGTCAGAGGCTAAGGACGCCAGAAGGAAAGTCAGGTTTTTTCTTATTTCTGTGTTCCTTTCCTGGAAACCACACCGAGGACACGAGCCGAGTGGAAATTGGACTGACCAGCTCACACATGCATCCAGTAAAGCCTTTTTAGCTACAACAACCCCACCCCCACCTTCTCTAAGAGCTCTACGATAAAACCCTTCAACAACTCAATCTCTATGGTCTGTGAATTTCATCTTGAATCCGTGAGACAAGAGCCCCAAAGCCACTGGCTTGGGATGGCTTTAATGGCCATTGAGTTTACAAAATCCTGGCTCACCCGAACCAGTTGCTTTGGGGTTCTTGTCTTACGAATTTGAAGAATGAAATTCATGGACCATAGAGGGTGAATTTTAGAAAGGCATTTGCTATGCTGGCCAGGATAGCCCCCAACTCCTAAGCCAAAGTGATCCTATTTCAGTGGGTGACACCTAAGCCACCACCCAGGTTCACATCTCTAACAGTGACTATACATCCTCACAAGAATGAGAACTATAATTTTTAAAGTACAATAGTGTTCTGCCAATAATTTGTAGTGTTGAATATTTCTAAAAGCCTCTGTAGATCAAGTCTAACTCACACTTGAGCATTCTCCTAAGGAAAGAACTCAGGCTCACAAACAGTAAACGTCCTGGGAGAGGTGGCATACCCTCTTTAATCCCAGCACTCCGAGGCACAGGTGGAAGGAAGGGTACCTGTGAGTTTGAGGCCAGCAAATTTTAGGCTAGCGAGGCTGCACAGTGAGACCCAGTTTCCAAAACAACAAAAGGACTCCTTCTTAAGATCTCATAGCTAGCACTTGTGCAGAATGCAAATCCAGGTAATTGGACTTCAAAAGTTTTACCTCATGTAAAGGTGGGTGTGTGATGTACATGCCAGTGTGCAGGGCAGGCACCCATGTACAGGCATACAGAGTCAGAATAGGATCTTAGGTGTCTACTTCTACCACTCTTCACACTATTGCCTTGAGACAGGGCCTCTCACTGGACCCAGAAACTCTATTTTCTGGCTAGGCTGGCTGGCAGGCAAGCTCTTGGAATCCACCTGCCCTTGGCCCACAAATGCTGGGATTACAGCTGTTTATGTGAGTGCCGAGGGACTCACATCATCTCCTCAGGCTTGCACTCAGTGCTCTTACTCACGGAGTCAGTCTCCCAGGTACAGCTGAGCTGTTGTTTTAATACCACGAAATACCTTTTAGTTAAAACAAAAAACCAAGAAAACAAGACAAAAAAACCCAAGACTTTCTGAGCAATGACAGGTCCCCCTGCTCCATATTTTTTTAAAAATTAATGTCTTCCCCCAGAAAAGGGTCTCACTACGCTAACTTTGGCTGGCCTGGAACTCACTATGTAGACTTGGCTGGCTTCGAGATCAGAGATTCCCAAATGCTGGAATTAAAGGCACAGGCCACCAAGCCTGGCTGCCATAATTGTTTTAAATCTGTTAAGTCTATACAAATATTCCAAAAAAAAAAAAAAAAAAAAAAAAAACCCAAAAACCAAAACCAAAAAAAAAAAACACACACAAAAAAAACCAAAACCAAAAAACCCCCCCCAAAACCAAAAAACCTGCTGAAATCTAAACTACTTTTGGTCCTAAGTATATTATGTAAGGTATACTCAACCTATATTACCAAGAATGTTAGAGAAAACATTGAAATTCATCAATAAGAGGGTATTTATTGAAAAACAAATTCATTTTTATAAGGTTTTTTCTACACACTATTTCATTAGGTCTTGGATGTGAATTCCTAGGAACAATATGCTTATTTACCACAGGGTTTAAAGTTTTGAAAACCAACAGAATAAAAGTGAAAAGAGGTATTTTCCTGTAAATTAGGCAGAAATAAAGTCTGCTGAAGAAAAGTGCTTCCTGTACGCAGAGCATCAATTTGACACATGCTCAGCTATGCTGGAGTTCCTTGACTGTAATCAGCACTTCAGAACTGTAGCTGTGGCATTATGTGGTCATTAAGCCTGCCAGAAAATCACAGCCTTTACTCCGAAAACTAGAACAAAATGCCGTCTTCACACAACAGCCACTCCCCTCAAAGCATCCCAGGCATTTTCAGATTAGCTGGCCATGAGTTTGATTTCCAAATGAACTGCTCTGGTCCACCAGGATACACGAAACCTTTGATAATCAATTAGGACTATCAAAGCCAACAGTCAGCAGATGTCATAAAGCTCAGAGGCTCCCTTGTTTGGAAAACGAGGCCTGCTGTCCCCACTCTGTAATCTGGGAAAGGCCCCCCAAAGTACATTTTTAACCACTCCAGAGTTCTATCAGAGCAGCCCCCACTACCTCATGGCTCCAGACAGGAAGGTATTCCAGCCTCTTGGAGACTATCTTGCTGTACATCTCGCTAATTCCAGAGAGAACAAAACCAAGAACAAAATCCTTTCCTAACAACTGCAGGACTGGCCTTCATATAGCAGGATTCCCAAAGACCAGATGAAAAGAGACAAAACCAAAACAAAACAAATCCCCAAACAACAGAAACATCAGAGAAAACCACACCAAACCCCAGGGCTATGCTGGAACAAGGCAGGGAGGCTCTTACGAGGTGCTCATTTCCTAGAGCTAACGGAGTGGGCAGAGGCAGGCAAACATGGGAGACAGCGCTCGCAGCTTTGGGCAAGTGCTAAGCAGTGCTTCTATTCTCACAATAGACACCCCTGGGGGCAGACTGAAGAGCAGGCAGAGACCTCATCTGTAAAGCAGACATCGAAACCACGTGGAAAAGGGCTACACGGGGCTGGAGGGGGCTTGCGGCTCGAGAGTGCTGGCTGCTCTTTCAGGTTCGGTTCCCAGGCCCCACACGGTGGCTCACAACCACCTGCAACCCCAGTTCCATGAGACCCAAGCCCTCTTCTGACCTTCAAGGGCACTGCATGCATGTGGTACATAGATATGTAGGCAAACACCCATACGCATAAAATAAATGAATCTTAAAATAAAACAAAACAGCCAGGCGGTGGTGACATGTGCCTTCAATCCCAGCACTTGGGAGGCAGAGGCAGGCGGATCTCTTTGAGTTCGAGGACAGCCAGGACTGTTACACAGAGAAACCCTGTCTTGAAAAAGAAAAAAACAAAATAAAACAAAACAAAAACAGTAGTAACTGGGTACAAAAATGGTGTAGTTCATTCAGAATGTTAGAGCATGGTCAAGAAATGAAGGAAAACTTGTAGGAATGAGAACACTGGGAGAAAAAGGCTTAATGAAAGCAGAGATTCTGTTTTGTTTTTCAGACAGGGTTTCTCTATGTGTAGTGCTGGCTGTCCTGGAACTCACTCTGTAGACCAGGCTGGCCTTTTGAACTCAGAGATCCACCTGCCTCTGTCAAGGAAATTTGTTCTTTGGAGACAAATCAGAAGTATAAAAGGACCATTCCAAATTCTTCTTTGCTTATATTCACTCCTAAAAATGTATGTAATATCATGACCAGGCATGTGCTAACATTCTCAAACTGAAGATTTAAAAAGCACACAAGAGAAATAAGTCAGCAGAGGAGACACCACCGGGTTTTTCCCTGAAGGAACGTTCTCTCTGAGTTATGACATGGTATTACTCTCATTGTTGGAGGTGGAGCGGGAGTGGACACAATTCAAATGCAAACCCCACTCTGGTTCTTCTCCTTACAAAGATTTCAAATTTTTATTTATTATTATTAGTATATGTCTGTGTATATGTGACAGAGAAGGAGGGAGGGAAGAAGGGAGAGGGAGGGGGAGAAAGAGAGATGAATGGGCACATTCACATGCCACAGTGCTTGTAAAAAAGTTTGGGGACAGGTTCTCTTTTTCCGCTGTGGGTTCTGGGAATCAAATTGTCAGGTTTGTTGGTGAGAGCCGTTGCCTCCTGGGCCATCTGCTCCATCTTTTATTTGTTTCTTACTCTCCCATTATTGTTCATGGGCTGGAAGGTCTACTTCTGTAAAAGTACGCTACTTCCTTTTGTGTAAGTTCAACAGTTCAGCACAGTAAGAAGCAAAAAGAGTGATTCTCTCCTGATCACAAACAGTGACAATAAGCAAGAGGAAAATGTCTTTGGAAGGAAGAACATGCTTTCAGAACTTACCATCATTATTTCCATCACATTGCTGTTAACAATCACTCTCCAGGGTTTAAATTTATTGTACAAATGCACAATAATAAATTTCAGCCCATACTTACTTCTAACAAGCGTGGAATCCAGCCTTTCCGGTATCCGTATGGGGGAGGCTCCCTTCGAGAGGAGACCAGCGAGGTCTGCCGCGATCTCTGAGATCTTGCTCTTTCTTCAGCTTCAAGTTGGTCCTGAGATAGCTGAGTGGGCGCAGGTAAAAAGCTACAGGAAACCAGAATTAAATACCAAAACAGAATTAAAAACCAAACACATTTAATTATTACAATTTTCCTTTGCTCAGTCAACAGACTTTTCAATGATTTATAGAAGCATTCAGTACTTATCACTTTCTTATGTGTGGAAAGGAAGTACTCAGAGACACACAGTGAAAATGCCTTGACCATACCAAGGGCAAATAGTTGTCCGGACTTAAAAACTAACAGGTATTTTCACATGGTTGACAAGCTACCAAACTCTGTACTTCCGTACTTTACACAGAAGCCAACCTCCAGTGCATTGTTTCCTAAGAATCCTTCCTGATTTTTGTTTTAACAAGGTCTAGTCAGGTAGCCCAGGCTGGTCTTGAACCTGCCACCCTCTGACCTCAGCCTCTGGAGTTTAGTTTATAGATAAGTGTCAACACTACTGTGCTTTCCTATTTTTGGGAGGAGACAGGGTCTCACTGTATAGATCTGGCTGCTTCTCCAGTGCTGGGATTAAAGGTCTGCACCACCAGGGATGCACAGAAGTCATTTCCTGGTCTTACACTCTTTCCCCGTCCCAACTCGAAAACTGTTACTTTTATGTGCCTGACTTTTGACTATTTTAATGTTGATAAAAAGTGGCAAGAACTAGTCAGGCAGTGGTGGCACACACCTTTAATCCCAGCACTAGAGAGTCAGAGGTGGGCAGATCTCTGTGAGTTTGAGGCCAGCCTGGTCTACAGAGTGAGTTCCAGGGCAGCCAAGACTGTTACACAGAGAAATCCTGCCTCATAAAACAAAACAAAACAAAACAAAACAAAAAAAAAAAAAAAAAAAGAAAGAAAGAAAGAAAAGAAAAGAAAAATGCACAATTTGCCTACAGCCCAATCTTAAGGGCCAGGCATGTTGTTTTGGTGGCTGTCCTGGATCCCGCTCTGTAGCCCAGGCTGGCTTCGAACTCACAGAGATCCGCCTGGCTCTGCCTCCCGAGTGCTGAGATTAAAGGCGTGTGTACCACCACCCGGTGGATACCAGTACTTTTGTTCCACTGGCTACAAACTGGGGTCCCTGCTCCCTGCCCTCAATAGGGTTTCTCTGTGTAACAGCCCTGGCTGTCCCAAAATTAGCTCTGTAGACCAGGCTGGCCTCGAACTCAGAGATCCACCTGGCTCTGCCACCTGAGTGCTGGGATTAAAGGCGTGCACCACCACCAGGTCTACTGTTTTAAATATTAAATATTCTCTTCAGGTTCAGTATAGAGATGCGCCGAGATGGATTTCAGGTGACCAGGTCCTTTAGCAAAGGCAGTCCCTGGCAGCAGGAGAAGCTGGAATATGGTAGAGACACAGCAGCCATCAGCAGCAGAACTGAGGCAATACCTTACATTAATAAAGGTTATAAGGAGAGGGTTCTGCGCTTAGCCAGTAAGTGAAGGGATAAGGTGTGTCCTCCATTACAGGTGCAGCCTCTGGGACCTAGCACCCTCCTCTTCCCCCACTTGGGTAAGATTCATTTGCTGGGACAGTTCATGAAACTAAACAAACAAAACCCCACCAAAACAAACCAACAAAAATCCCAACACATTCGCTTGTTCACAATTTTTAAAAATATAGGTTTCTTTCACTTTCATGTGTGTGAGTGCTTTGCCTGCATGTCTGTTTGTGCATCACATACATGCCTAGTGCCTTCAGAGACTGGGAGAGGGCATCCGATTCCTAAACTACAGTTACAGATGGCTGTGAGTCACTGTGTAGGTGCTGGGAACTGAACCAGGTCCTCTGCAAGAACAGCCTCTCTTAATCACTGAGCTGTCTCTCTAGTCCACACTTGCTAGTTTTTATAAGGGACACCAAAAAAACATACTAATGAAGGCCAACTCAAAGCTCTGTGGTCCCCAAGCCTGGCCATTTTGAGACTTCATCTGTCATTGCTTTGTTAAGCACATAATACACACCACACCACTGGCATTGTTCTTGAGTGCATTCGTTTCAAACTCCACCTTTCCCCCTCATAACCCTACCAATCTGTACCACAGTGTCTGAAGTACACTCAAATGTTTGCTACCTGTAACCCTGACAGTCTGCATAACTCGCTCCAATTTTTTTGGTACTAAGGCTAGCTAGTACTACACAAATAAGCGTTTTCTGTTGGCTCTAATTTCATTTCTGTTTCGTTATTAAAATCCTCTGGCAAAGAACAGTTTTAAAGGAGGAGGGGCTTATTTGGCTTACAATTCCAAGTCACAACCCACCATGGAACGTCAAGGCAGGAACTCAAAAGGCAGCTAGTGAAATCTCACTCACAATCAAGGGCAAGAGAGACTTGCTTTCTTGCAGAGAAGGAGGAGGAGGAGGAGGAGGAGGAGAAGAAGAAGGAGAGAGAGAGAAAGACAGAGAGACAGAGAGAGCAGGTAGGCAAGGCACCACATAAACTGCTTGATGGTTGGCAGACTGGCTTTCTGCTCATCCAGCTTTAACTGTTCAGGACCACTTGCCTAGAGAATGGTGCTGCCCATGGTGGTGTGCATCTTCCTGCATCTACTAGCAAGAAAAACAATCCCCTACAGACACATTTACAGGCCAATCTGATCTAGGCAATTCCTCGTCTGATATCTTTTTGCCAAGTGTGTTAAGTGGACAGGCTAGTTGCTATGTTCTCTTTTCTTTCTTTCTGGCCTTAAACCAGCTATACAGACCAGGTTAGCCTTGGAACTCAAGAGACCCTCCTGCCTGCAGTTTTCATCTGTGTATCTACTTGTCCATCTTTCCGGTGGCAAAAATTACATTTCATTCTATACAAACAACCTCTAGCACAAAGCAGGACAACGAACAGTAATCCCCGTGACCGAAACGTCTTTAGGATTCATACTGTTACAAGCCAGGAAAATATGAGAAGTGGGTTTAACAGGTGAAAGATAATATCCTAAAATGAACATTTGCTTTACACCCAATCAGACTTCTCCTGCTGAGTTCGCATGGAAAGTTTTTCCACTCGGAGCAACTAGGAGTTACATAACTTTTTGGAAATCTCCCACTTAGCATCTTTTTCTTAAAGGATGGGAGCACTTTATATACGGTAACCAAGGCAACCAGGAACAGCAAAAAGTCGGAGGTGGTTCTATGTACAAAAGCAATTCTAAGGTCCAAAGTTAAAGCGCGGAGCATTTAGTAAACAGCAGCCCCTACTGCTGCCAATTAAAAAAGATTTTGGTCGGTTCTGAGCCATCCCCAACTCCTTCTGCTTTTTGCAAAATCTTTTGTTTCTGAAAAGAGAGTACTAGAGAAACGGGAAAGCCCAAAGCATACAAGCGGCTGGAAAGCCACACACAAGACTGGCGCGCTTTGCTCAGCAGGGATAATTCAGCCGCTGCTTTCCACCGCGCATCGCGTCCGCCTCAGCCGGGGTCCGCAGGGCGCTCGCCAACCTGCCGCGCTGCTTACGCGAAGCACACGTGAGCTCCTCCGCACGAGGCCACGCCGTGGCTCTCGGCCCCAGGGAAGGGGCGAACTCAGCCCGGGAAGCCTCTAAAGAAAGACCCCGGCTTTGGCGCGGCCTAGTCGCCAAGGAAGCCCGCGAGAGGTTCTAGCCATGGTCTCGGCCAGGGTCCCTCTGCGCCCCAGGCCAGGTCACTGCCCTCACAGTCCGGGCAGAAAAAAAGGAAAAGATGGGTACTCCCAGACCCTTCCGTATCGAGGACCCAAATCAACAACCCACCTGGTGAGCGCCATCTTCTTCCGCTTCTTCCAGCGCAAGCCACAGCGTCGCGGGGCGGGTCTTGCCCGGGAACGAGGAACACAATGGAAGAAGTGCTCACTGCGCAGGCGCCCTGGCCGAAAGGCCCTATGGGCTTTGTAGTTCTTTGAGCGGGAATTATGCTGGCCTCTCTCAAGGAGAGAAAGTGGTTTTGGAGAGCTAACAGCGACTCCCCTAACGAAGGAAATTTCTTACATTTATGGATTTTACAGGGGAGAGGCTCTCTGAGTTTAGCAGATCAGTAGTGATGATACAAGGTAGGATTTAAAGCCATAATTTGGGAAGCTAATACTATTATCTACCTCCACCTTAAGGCTGCTACACCTAGGATCTTTTTTTGTTTTGTTTTTTGTTTTTTTTTTTTCGAGACAGGGTTTCTCTGTATAACAGTCCTGGCTGTCCTGGAACTCACTTCGTAGACCAGGCTGGCCTCGAACTCACTGAGCTCTGCCTGCCTCTGCCTCCCAAGTGCTGGGATTAAAGGCGTGTGCCACCCCTGCCCGGCCTACACCTAGGATCTTACCTGTATTGAATAAGATATAAAGCATAACTGATCCCCATTTGTACAGCAGCCTCCCCGCTTATAGCTGATAGTTTGGTTAATAGTCGTCTACTTTAAATTCTGCTCCAGGAATGCATTATTTTTAAGTGTGTGTAGGGGTCAAATAAAGAAGGTGCTGGAAATGAAGATCAAGGAGCTTTGATTTGATTCAACAGATGATTTGGAGCTGAAGGAGAATTTATGTAGAGCTTCTGGGTGAAAGAGACACATAAGAAAGACAATTTCTGAGACTGAGTTTTTCTGTGTAATCCCGGCTGTTAAACTCGCTCTATAGACCAGGCTGCCTCGAACTCAGAGATCCTCTTGCCTCTGACCCCAAGTGCTGGGATTAAAGGCGTGGGCCACCACACTGACTCAAGAAAGAATTGTTGAGATAGGCTAGGTTTCTATGGTAATGAGAGACAAAAAAAGGCTACTGAGGACAATGTTAAAATAGTTAATGTGGGAAATCAGTAAGGCATAGACCGAACCCCGGGATGTAGGATTGAAAGAACGGGATGGAAGTGTTCTCACAGACAATTCTCGTTTTTCACAGAGGCTTATCATTTGGGGTATCATGATGGTCCCTCATTGCCCTCGGGGTGTATAAAGAACAACAATTTTACGACAACGTAATTCAGAAAGTAGATCTGTAAAACTGATTTGGGGACTCAGTAGGTAAAGGCTCTTGCTGCCAAGCTTAACCACCTGAGTTCAGTCCTAGGACCCACTTGGTAGAGGAAGAAAACTGGGTCCATCAAGTTGTTCCCTGACCACAAAGGTGCTGTGGAAGTTACACACACACACACACACACAAATTTATTTTTAAATGACTTGCAATGGGCAGTGCTTTTTTTTTAGTTCTGGGGGGTGTGGGTTTGGTTCACTTGTGCTGTGTCTTCATGCGTTCCCCCACCTCATGTGGTTCTAGATTCTGGTAAGTCACCTCATGTGGTTCTAGAGTCTGGTAAGTCACCTAAGTTGTCTGTGTCTCAGCTCCCGGCGATTTACAAAAGCAAAGCAGAGGACCTAATTTCCCTATCTCAGTTTTATCCCCTGAAAATGACAAGCTTTTAGGAAATTTAAATGAGCTAACCAGGGCTGTGGAGAGGACTCACACAGGACAGTGCTCAGTGCTCAAGCATGAGACCCCGAGTTCAAGGCTCCACTCATAAAAGAAATATAGGTGGACATAATATGAGTAAACCTCACTAGCGTAGCTTTGGTGAGCTTTGATGCTCACTAGCATCGGTTCTGGTCCCACACAGGACAACCAGAACAACACTGCACGTGGAGTAGTGTCTCTGTGCTGACGGATGTTGCAGATGTTGGCAGGTGGACCTCACAGTTCCATGGGCAGGTAAAGCCTGAATTCTTTACCCTCACAGCAGCCTTACCATAGCATAAGCCTTCAAAGTGTTGCGCGAACTCTGGAGTTGACACATATGTTGAAGTCTAATAGTTGAGAAAAGTGACATATGGGGGGTGGGCAATAAGACTTGGTGTTCCATTCCTGCAGGTAGGAAGAGTATGCATATACTCTTGAAGGAAAATAGGGAGATGACTTCAGTTTTCATGTGTGAGAGCTGATGAGGTGCCCGTACTTTAAACAAAAACACCAAAGCAGAATAAAAGCTCAAGTTTTAAAACAGAAACTTTGGATAGCAAATTCAGGAAAGGTTTGCAATGGTTTTGAGGCTGTGCGACACATTCTTTTATTTGCTGTATGTTTCAATTGCTCTAGCTGCCATTATTGTAGGCTGTGAGGTCAGGGTGCTCTCCTTATTGACGATTTATCATGGTTCTCTGGTGCAAGATAGAACTTCTTCAGCACACTGCTTTGCTTTTTCAGATGTCTTTCACAGATGCTTCCAATCTTAACATTAATTTTTACTAAGTATTAGTTTGCATTAAAGTGTAGTTAAAAAGACTGCAAGGTTTCTTTGTAACTGCAAAAGAAAACAAAACAGTGAAGCTTTATAACAAAGGGATTTAGCTGTCTTCTAGTTGGTATCTCTAGTCACTGGACAGTCTGACATTATGTATATCTAAGAGGAACGTCTCTAATTTTCTTCTTTTTTTTTCTTTTGAGACAAAGAGGTTCTCATTATGTAACTCTGGCTGGGACTTGGAATTAGCTCTGTAGGATAGGCTGGTCTTGAACTCACAGAGGTCCACCTCCCTTTGCCTCCCCAATGCTGGAGTTAAAGGCATGGACCTCCATGCCCAGGGGTGCTGTGGGATGTCTTTCTGTATGCTGTGAATATGTGTTGCTCTCATTGGTTGATAAATGAAGCTGCATTGGCCTATGGCAGGGCAGGAAAAAGTTAGGCGGTACATTCAAACTGAAGATGAGCCAAAGAAGGGTGGAGTCCAGGAGACACCAGCCCTCCACCAAAGGAGCAACAAGATGCCAGCAGACCAACCAGAAATGCCATGGCCACATGACAACATATAGATTAATATTTGTAATTAATATTAATTTAAGCCTCTGAGTGATTATTTTATAAGTGGCTTCAGGACCACATGGCTGGGTGGGACCAGAGAAACTTACAGCTACACAGTGGTATCTCTGCTGTGGGATGTTCTGTATGTTAAATGTGTTACTCTGATTGGTTAATAAATAAAACACTTATTGGCCAGCAGCCAGGCAGGAAGTATAGGCGGGACAAGGAGAGAGGAGAATTCGGGGAAGTGGAAGGCTGAGGTAGAGAAGACGCTGCCAGCTGCCACCAGGAGTACCAACATGTAAGATACTGGTAAGCCATGAGCCATGCAAGGTATAGATTTATAGAAATGGGTTAATTTAAGATGTAAGAACAAGGTAGCAAGAATCCTGAGCCATTAGGCCAAACAGTTTAAATAATATAAGTGTCTGTGTGTTTATTTTATAAGTGGGCTATGGGACTGCCGGGGCTTGGTGGGACCTGGAGAGAAAAACTCTAGCTACAAAGTATCTCTAATTTTCTTATCAAGCTAGAGCTAATTTCCAGTTCAGAAGAAATTCAGGGAGTAGAGAGACAAGTTTTTAAAACTCAAGGGAAAAACAGGAAAATCTAGAATGTGATAAATTGTGTAAGACAACTGACTTCAACTCTTCAGAAATGTAAATACAAGGTTGGAGAGATGACTCTTCCTGGGCAGGAAGGCTTGCTGTTTTCATAGAGGTCCAGAACTGGGTTCCCAGCCCCCACACTCAGCAGCTTCTTCACAACTGCCTGGAACTCTAGCTTTAGGGATCTTTTGTTCTTATGTGTGCATGCACGTGTACACAGCATATACACAGAGAGCCTATACCTATATACTTACATATACCCATAAGTAAAAAAATGAAAACACATCTTTAAAAAAAAAAGAGCAAACTTTAAGGAGACAAAAGTGGGTTAGTAGTTACTCAGGGCTGGGATGGGAAAGGCAGAAGAAAACTCTTAACAAGTATGAGTTTGCATGTGTGACAGTGGCAGAGCTCTGTGAACATACTTTACAACAACCCTCTACTCTGTAGATTTTATTATTTTTTTAAACAATTGTTTAGAGATCATTTTGAATGTATGCCTATGAGTGTTTTACTTGCATATATGTACGTGTACCTTGTGCGTGCTTGATGTCCATGGAGATCAGAAGAGGGCACTAGATCCAGACTTTCAGACTGTTTCATGCCACCATGTGGATGCTGGGAACAGAACCCGAGCCTTCTGAAAGAGCAGCAAGTGCCTTTTACCTCTGAGTCGACTCTCCAAGCCCCACAATCAATAGATTTTTAAAACGGTGAATAAAGTTGGGGAGTGGGTGGCACACGCCTTTAATCCCAGCTCAGGGGAGGCACAGTCTATGAGTCTGAGGCCAGCCTACTCTACATAGTTAGACTCCATCTCAATAAACACCCCCAAAACCTAGGAAAGCAAAGTAAATTACAAAATGAAAGTGAATTCATATGTAAAACGTGTGACATGGTATTCATTGTTCCCCAATGATATTCAGGATTAGTTTGAATTCTTCTTTAAAAAGTTACATTTGAGCCAGGCGTGGTGGTGCACGCCTTTGATCCCAGCACTGGGGAGGCAGAGGCAGGTGGATCACTGTGAGTTCGAGGCCAGCTTGGTCTACAAAGTGAGTTCCAGCACAGCCAGAGATACTACACAGGGAAACCCTGCCTCGAAAACAAACAAACAAGTTACACTTGTTAGTCATTTACTTTTTTCAGGGAGGAGTGATGTAGGTTCCAGTCAGAAAACAATTTATGGGAGTTTTACTTCTCTCTACCATGTGGGTCATAAGGCTCGAACTCAGGTTGTTGGTGTTGGCAGCAAACACTTTACCCTCCACTGGGTTGTCTTGATGGCCCTTCTTTTGAATTCTTTTTGAAACATTTATGACAGCCAGGTGGTGGTGCATGCCTTTAATCCCAGCACTGGGGAGGCAGAGACAGCTGGATCTCTATGAGTTTGAGGCCAGCCTGGTCTACAGAGTGGGTTCCAAGACAGCCAGGGCTACACAGAGGCAACCT